AATGGAGTTACCTGACAATGTTAGATCTCCCCACTTGTGCTATTCCCGTCAACGATTATCTGTTCTTTGCAAAACGTCTAGCCCCCAACTGAGAAAATCCGAAAATTCCGAATAGAATAACTTATTACTCACATAGCCACAAACATGGCATAGAGCAATGTTCAAAACACCGATCGTATTGATTAGTCAAGTCAGATCCATAAGAGTCAGTTGGCGCACTGGTAGTCCGATCAATAAGGTCGATATATGCGTTTCACTCAACCGACTTCCCGTAGTGTGTTTCAGAGCACAATCCCCGGACCTCCAATGCTTCGAGGTTATTCAACAACTTTTGTATTTTCTCTCGGACAGACATCCGACGTCCACCATACTTCCCTCCCCCACTCCTTTCTATCAGAGCAAGATTAGCTTCGTTCCGAAGTTCATCTTTTTACTTCGGTTCGACTTCAGCTACCGAATTGCTGCTTACTCAGCGAGTGGGAACAGTTCTAAATTGTTCTGTTTACTCGCCTTCGTACTCGTTCCGCTTGGTTTCCGGCACATGCTATAGTCCTGTAGTGATCAGAATGATATGTTGCAAATCTTTTCTCCACAAGTAAGCTTCTTTATGATTGGCTCAATGTGCCCTATAAGTGTGCCGTTTGCTCGTTTTCGGAGCATACGTCCCCTGTGTCTTCCTTGTTTTCACTTCGTCACCAACCACTTTCTTTCCGTGTAACAGCCAGGACTGACACCCATCTATGTAGAATCCTTTCACGGTCATATTATCCTGTTTCTTGGACATCCAGCGTTTCATTTAATCACTAGTTGCCCCCTCTTGTCTTCTCCTCAGGATGCCCTCACATTTTCTCTGATCACTTACTTGTGACATCTGATTTGCCGAAAAAGCAATCCTGTGCATCCCTTCTACTCCATCACATTCATCATTAGCTAGGCTATTTGATGCCACACTATTGATCTACTGTCCACTTTTCTCAGCCCGCCACTATCGCGCTTACTCCCATCACACACACCACACTAGGGAACCGATGAATTATGACCAATCTTGCCTTCCTGTTTTATCATAACGTTCTTGTGCCAAATAACAGCCTGTCGCACTTACGTATCAATCTCGCAACAGCTGTTGAATTCGTGAACCTATTTCATGCACGCACTGCGGTATTCGTTACAGCTCTGTTAGAATGAGCAGTTCCGCGCGGCTCATCATTTGCAAGGGGTGCTCTTTTTACCCCTTGTCGATATGTCCGATGATCCACCGCTAAGTAGCTAATTACTCCCTAACTCAGTCCTCATTTATAAGGACATTGCAGGACTATTCTCCTACTCCAATGATAAGTGGTATATACACTGCTCATTCTTGCGACTACAGCTAATCCACAACCATCGTGTCTACATTCTGTACCGTATCCCATTATTTTCTAAGCTGGATAAGCGCATCTAGTATCGCCCACTGTCTGAGTAGATAAGCACTTAGTAAATGCGCTTGAAGCTTTTTCGATTGCTTGGAATCATCTTTGACTCAAACCATGTGCATATATAACTTTGAAGGCATCTTCACATTTCTGAGATGATAGGTTTAGCGATGAACATATATGCATTATAGGATGGAGATGCTCATGAGATCGAACTGTCCAACTGTTTAAAGCGGCTAATTCCTGTTCTAACTCTACTGAAACAGTCATTTGCTGAACGCTGCAGTATGCGGGAAAGTCGTCTGAAAGTCTATGCTATCGATCTGTTCCAAGTTCAGCCAGTATTTGTCTGAGCTACCAAGAGTTTGCATTCAACTCTCTGCTATCCTGTGTAAGTTGGCTTTGTTGATGAGTAGCCGAGCTCTGCATACCGCGGCTTCTTAAATGCGCCTTCTACTGTTTTATTCTTCCACTCCAACCCGTGCACTAAGTCACCGTTCATATGTTTCGTTTTTCCCATCATTTTTCACATCTGAAATGACCATAGGCGATCCAGTTTCCACTTTTTCACCTCGGTTGAAATTCATATTTGTCTGCCGATTGGTCGATTTAAACCCCCCGTTCACGTCCCTTTCTTTGCCTGAAACATAGTACCTACTATTTTATGTATCGCTTGTACTTTAGCTGAAAATGCGATGCCAACATTCCTCACTACCTTCGAGGAATTTGATTGGTTAGCTTACTAAATGCCAAGACACTAATCCTCATTGATTCGGTGTAGGTAGCTTTTGATGTCATCACACAAAGACCACTAGACGCTCCTTCCTGGGTCGAAATCAGGGTGTACAGGTTGCTGCTAATTTGACCGCTGATGCGGTCATTGACTTCGGAAAACATTAAACAACTAATCGTTTTTAACTGTTTGTGTCGACAATGAAAGCGGGTCAATGAGCGAGTACTTTTCCTATACGCCAGCTTATGTTTGGTAACAAGTTGCGTCGGACATTGCACTGCACTGTTTGACGTACCTGTGACACTCACCTTTGTTAAATCACATTCTTTCCACACCTATTGCTCGCCTACCTCGGTGTGTCTCGTTTGCTTTAGATACACTTAGTCAGGCGAATCTCGATGGGGTTCACGCGGTTTCTTTATACAAAGTGATGCAAAACTGACCTAAGTACGCTGGTGTCCTGGTTTGGGGACCAAGTGACCTGACCAAATCAGCGGTCGAATCTGTAGCTAGCCTTCGATCTCTAAACAGTCACATCCCCATTGTCACTACCACGTTTCTCGACCTCTACCAATAAGACTATTTTCACTCATTTTGCTCTCATCAACTTCTTCATCTTGACAGCGTACGATTTTAAAACTGAATCCTCTCCAGATTGGTACTGGGGTCTTAAGTGGCATCCAAACCAAACAGCAGAGGTTTGACAATTGTATTATTCTGACTACCTATTCGGAGTGACCATTTGTCTCCAAACAGTTTCTCCAGCCCTATAATATCCCATTTTCCCCATACTTGTCTCTTGTTTTTTACGACCCTTTGGGCTTCTTCCATTTCAGCTATCCCTCTCTATGATGACAATCAGCTTCTCAGCCGCATTGTCGTACACTCGCTATTCGCCTTGTAATACTGTCACTTTAACTTTTCTCTCAAATGTCATCCTGTGCCACCCTTTCGTTACGTAGGTTTCCAGTTTTCTCGCATTTTTACTCCCTTCCAAGCCACGTGATTACGTGGCAATATGAGCTGTTATGTTGCCGTCCTTTCGGTTGTTATACTTATGCGGTTAATACCAGTCAAAATATCCTAAACAGCTTTGCGGTTTTTTTAACAGTAGTGTATAATGGGTTTCATACAGGGTTAGTCAACTGCACTTCCGCTTTTCTATTCCTGCTTGCGTTGTTCTGAAGTCCTTCCTCGGTCGATTTTGGACTCCCATTCGAATTACGTTCCTAATCCCCCTCCTCATGCGGAATACGGTTTCCAACTCAGGATCATGTTTCACGAGTCTCCGTTACTCGTGGACTGACGTTCTACTCGATTGCGACCATCTTCGCATACAACTGTTACCGTTTTGACAATCCTATCGGAAGAAACCACTTCAACAGTCTGGCTTGGCGGTCCAGAACTTGCTCCCCCACATAAAGCATTACCGCTTCCTAACCTTCAATGACTTCGCCAAGTGTATCTTCCCACTCGCTTCTCTTTTTACTTGACGGCCGGTGGCCAACGGGTCACAAGCCTGCCTTGTAATCCGAGGGCGTGGGTTCGAGCCTGCGTAGGGGACCGGGAGATCCTCAGTATCCTTAACCTACGCGCGATAGTTGGTGGTTGCGCAGCAGCGAAGCGCCGGTACTGTGTGCCGGCCTACTGCTGATACCCATTTTCTCGATTTTTGATTTATCTCCTTGAAGTTACATGCGTAGTCACTGCGCTGATCTGCTCGCTCTACTCACATCACCGAGTTCAACCATTCATCTCAATCCACGTTTCTCAAGCAGTTCAATGTTCAACTGTTCGGTCGTACATTTCTTCGTTCGAACGCTCACTGTTTACCGGTGAGAGTTCTGTGCTGTATGGATGGCATAAGGATTGAGATATGCAACTGGCGGAGAATGAAGCCCCTAGACTCCAGACTGTGCACTATTGCTCGATCACACCTTTCTTTCTGGGTGCCTCGCGATTCACTTCTTACTTGAACCTAAACGTTACGGGGCATGGCTCACAATTGGCACCCGTGGAGTTGTTTGCACTCGTCTCCTCCCTGGAGTGTGTAGTCCAACTGTCTGATCCTGAGAAATATGTGGGATTAAGTTGCTTATCATGTGAAGCAATGGAAGTTGCTAATGAACTGTTGAGAAATCGTCGTCTTATCTCCACATGATGTCCTATTGTTTACCTAACATATGCACAGTGACTGAATGTTTACTTAGGTCTTTTAAGCACACACTGGGTCTCTTTATCATCCCCATTACAGCGATTTACTAGTGTGAAGTTCTAAAATGTTTTTACTGTTGCTGCTGCTGATCATCAGCCATACCCACGATATTATCCGGGAACATCGCAAAGACTGAGGGCCAGTCTCCAAGAGTTTCGGTCAGCATTGTTCATTTACTGCATTTACTATTATTTACATTGTTTTCCTTCATGAACTCACACTTACCAGTTTTTCATCCGTCCTCCCTGTTTTCAGTGTCCCACTCACAATGTTTCCCTCTTACTCGGTTCCTGCTAGTCGTCATCCTTAAGCGAATCCATTCCGGCTTCAGGTTTTCCCATCACAACTCAGAACCACTTTCGCCTCACCCAAGAACTTGATGAGTGTCTTGATTCTAGTCCTTCGTAATTGTTTTTTATGCGTCGACGTCCAACTCCTCAAGCTACGTAAAACTATGTCGCCATTCATGCGCTCATTGTTCGCACTCTCGGCCACTACTTGCTGAATAGCGCTCATTTTCCCTATGAGACAGTGTACTTTATGTTCACTACGTGCGGCTTGGTGTTTTGTCTTAAATCTGCTTTCATCTCTGTCTCCTCCTTTTTGATAACTGCTCCCTTTTCGTTTTTCCTTTTCATAGTCCTGCGACACCGCTCTGTCACAGCCCTTGGGTGCGGATTGCATCACTTTCCAGCCGGTAGGTTCACTATTGTTCCGCTTCACACGCTTACTAATAGACTATCCTCTGGTTGAAGTAAACCATGACATGCTACCCCCCTCTCCTCCGTCCCATACCGGGGGATATTGGGCGCCATTTTTGCTATAGCGGACCCTATTAGTCCCTAGAAGCAAGTGAATACCCACCATGTGTCCTCTGCTGTTTAGTAGGATTGGTCCTCGGAATCTCCTCACTCTATTTCTAAGCTCAGTCTAACTTTCTAACTAAAGGGGCTTGACAAGCTTGATCTTTTTCGGTTGCTGTTTCAAAGTCTAAATTGGCTTGCGCTCAATTTCACTCAAAGGTATCCACTATCCAATTGTTCTTCTCAAGCACGGCTCTCTTTGTGGACACAGTGTTTTATCCACCCAGGCGACCGAGTATGGTGGCCCATACTCACTCATGGATTTAAGTGGATCGCTTCGTTCACTCTCGGCTGATTCGTGTGTGTGGTATCAGCGGCCCGATCATTTCCATCAGAACTGACACTGAACCGAATGTTCCTGTATCCAAATTCAAACCGTGTTTGGTGTTCATCTCCCTTTTTCATTGTACTTATTTGTCCTGGATTTTTGTAGTGCTCGCTCCGCTCGCGTAACCCATTGAGTGCAAACGAGTGTTCAGGAACATAGCTATACGCAAGTTAGACGACTGGTTGTTACTGGCTATTTTCAAGGTGATTCACACGTCCTCTTTCACGGAGCCACTAACGGCATATGTAGGCATTTCAAATCAACTCGACGGCTATATCCTACATAGAATTCCTCTTGCAGCCTAGTCGACAATTCCATCTTGAGGCGCGTTTTGTCGTCAGAAAATCGCTGCTTCCTTAGCCAGCATAGCTACACTCAACCTGATTACTGTAAGCAGTATCTCCAGCATCACCACTGTCGTGAATGCACACCGTCGGCGTACTGTTGACAAACCATGCAAGTAGCTAGCCATAATATTGTACTTCTCATTTACGCTCGACGCGGTTCTGGTCCGATCATTATGTACAGGTTTCGGTCAGTGTACACAAGTGAGCGCCGGAATTCTCGTTGGGCAGAGCCGGACCTCTTCCCACTCACATGATCCAGGACGAAACATTGCCAGTTAGTTTAGAGACTCCGTCGGAGGTTGAGGTCCAAAACGCGGTCGCAGACCTTCCTCGTTTTTATGCTGCTGGCCCGGATTCGCTCTCACGCGCACTATTTAAGGATGGAGGTGAGCTCCTCTGCAAAGCACTGACATCCTTATTCGAACGTATCTGAAAGGAAGTGGGTATCCCGGCTAACTGGAGTGAATCGATTATAGTGGTAGTCGCACAGATTGTGCTGACCGCAGGGGTATTAGCCTAAGGTCGGTGGTTGCAAAATTACTGGTATCAATCATCTTTCGTCGCCTCACTGTCTAACGGGAATCTCGGAATAGCGAAGAGCAAGTACGTTTCCGCCCAGGACGTGACTGTATATACCATGTATTCCCTCTGCGGCAGGTGCTAGACCAGCACCACATGTACCGCAGATCGACAATAGCTGCGTTTCTTGATTTCAAGAGTGCTTTCGATTCAGTCGATCGGTGCATTCTGTTCGAAATAGTTGCGCGGAACGATGTTTACATGCTCTATACTCGAACACTACAGGTCGCGTCAGAGTTTAAGGTGACCTGTCGGATAGCTTTCCGACAACAAGTGGCGTTCGTCCGGGTTGTCCGATTTCCCATTTTTGTTCAATTTCGTCGTGAACTCCTTCATGGAGTGTTCCCTTGCGGCTCTTCACGATGCTGGCATTGACGTCCTGCCTAGTTGATTTTGAATATGCAGACGATATCGTCTTGCTTTTTGACGATGTTGGGCGGCTCAATCAAGCCTAAATAACCTCTGGAATGGTCCCATTATTTGGTATGCGCTTCGCACCTTCAAAGTGCAAATTGTTGCTGCAGGACCACCAGCCAATTGATAACCTTTTGGCCCTTGATAATGAGGAACTCGAGCTGGTTGATCGATTCAGTTATCTTGGAAGCTGCATCACCAACGATGCGCGCACAGCAACTTCAGTCAGTTCATCACTGCAAAAGCCAGCACTGCCTTTTTGAATCTGCGGTATGTGTGGCGTCAGAAAGAGTTCTCTTCGTTTGAAAGGCCATGTTTACAAGGCCACAGTGAGAACCGTCCTACTGTATGAGAGTGAGACTTGGTCCCTGCGGTTTGAGGATCTAAGGCGCCTTGAAGTCTTTGCTGATCGTTGTCTGCGAAACATTGCTGGTGTCGGGTAACACCAGCGTGTCCACAACGATGATGTGCGTAGGCGAGTACTAGGCAGTGATATACTATTTTCTTAGAACAGACAGCACTGAATAAATTGCTCTGGCTTGGACACGTACTACGAATGCCTGTTCAGCGCTAACCTATGTGGGCTTTGTCTGGTGTGCCAGATATAGGGTGGCGCAATGCTCGAGGTGGGCAAAAGTTGACTTGGCGACGGGAAATGAAGTCACTGACGACTAAACTTCGTGCCGTCGGTCCATCTCGCCTTCCAGGCTGGAGTCCACGTGACTAGACTTGTGCTTGACTCGAGACTTTATGGGACGTGACTCTCAGTCGACACCAATGGCGCATCAACTGCTGTCTCCTAATCGGACTGCCTGTTTAAAATGTGTTTGATGCTGAGTTATCTGCGGGATAATGACTGATTATGACGCAATGCAGTAAATTCTGCAAGGAAGCTGTCTCACTGATGCCTCTTGTCTTTGCCCGATAGCCAATTGTTTGTGAGGGTATGTTGTTAACACGAGGGTCCTTAACAATGAATGTTTACTAAGGGTACTAAGGTTTTACCTTAGGTCCCTCTTCTCACCCTCTTATTAATCTTTATTCCATAGGTCAATGTGGTTGTACTGCAATGAAGCATCAGTTCAAATGGCTGATGTACTGTTGTTGTTGTTGTTGTTGTTGTTGTTGTTGTTGTTGTTGTTGTTGTTGTTGATTGAGTGTACACGGATTCTTCAAAGGCAGGGAGTTTCGGTTTCGGTTACTCTCAAACATCAACCAAATCTTTTCCCTTAAAATGCATCTTGCGTTGTTCATAATTATATTGTCATGACATCGGACCGAATTGCGGTCCCGATGGCTGTAGACGGGTAGTGGTTTGTGAACGAAGCATTGTATTGCGAACTGTATAGAAAAGCGTGAACTTGGAACCAGCTCACCTATATTTGATGTGAGCATGAACCATTATGTTTATGCATACAAAGCATACAGCAGTATCGGTTCAGTGTACGGAGACTTTGATACACATTTCTACAGAATGGTTAAACGAAAGTGTTTTGGCAAAAGCGCTTTAAAGCTATATCGGAAACATCGTTTATGATTAGTTAGTGTAATATAGGTTATTCAGGCTGATTGGCGTTATTATAATAACGAATATAGTAATTTAACATGGATAGATTGACAATACTTAGAACTTGCGTATGTCTGGTGATTGGCTTGTAGTAGGACAACGAAAATGAACTTGACGTATCACTACCCCCGCACGCATCCTGTCCCTCCAAAGTTGATGTGCTCGTTAATGACATAATGACAATGGTTTACTTATTTATTAAGTAACGCATATTCTTATGAGGTACATCCTCTCCAGCGTGACCAAGTTTTTTTACATCTAGAATTTACCAGAACATCCACACTGTGCTCTCAATGCCGTGCATTAATAAGAAGTATACTGTCAGGGATATTTCTCTGGCACAAATTCCCAGAATGTTCTCTGTGTTCGGTCGCATTGTGTGAGACTTTTCTGTGGTTCGGAATACAACATCCTCTATACGCGGTGGCTAAAGGGTTAGTGATTTCGGCTAACATCCCACTGGTCACGAGTTCAACATCTGCCATTACCAATAAGGTCGAAACGCGTCGATGAGTGCAGTGTTTTCGGACGGTATCAATATTTATCTGCTTTATCTGTTACGGTCCCACTGATCAATTTGACCAGGGTTCGGTTCACTGCGAATCACGGTCCATAATGAGATTGCGCGTCACAATCCATCCACACGAGTACTTCTTCCCCTGGTTGTGAGAGGTGTTCAAATTTCCCAACAACCTTGGACGTATCACACTCCTAACCGGGAGTGCTGTGTACTGATCGAACAATGCTTTTCCATTGATGTAGTGAATGGAGAGCTATTCAATGGTGATAAGTAAAACAGTGGAACACTAGTTCTGTGGCACAATGTGTAACATCTAATTTATGCAGCGGGTTTTCCCTTTTGCTTTATGGTGTATTAGAAAATGAGCAAACTCATGAATATGTTTGTTTTGTTTTTTTGGTTATCAACTGTACATGAATGGTGAGATAACTAGAAGAGAGATTGTCATGGGTGTGAGGCTGATTTGGCTAGCATTATCCAACCGACCCAGGCATATTCGTTTGACTATTCACCACGCGTACGCAAGTAAAAAGACGTGGAAATAATGTGTACAGCAGTATCGGTTGTCGGGTACATACTGGATGTTCCCCACCACAAAAACTCTACACTCCACGACTAGATTCGAAGGTGTTTGATCTCATAGTGTTGAAATTGCATGTATCAAACCCGGCGTCATGGAAATCTTAGCTGAAGGCTGTGACCCTAAGCCACCGTGTCACGACGTGCAACGCTTGGCACAACGCTTGATTACTGATTGGATTATGACTTGCAATCTCGCTGTGGGCTGTGGTATACCTTGGAGTGTGTCTTGCTCAATTCGATCACTCGGTAGTTTTGGGATAGAGGTTTCGGCTAAAACCCCAAAAGCCCCTGGTCCGATGTGTGCTGCCTCTAGCTCATGTTCGAAACTAGTCGTTAGGTGCAGTGTTTTCGGGTGGGTAACACCCACTGCTTTAGCTACAGTCCCAATGATCGAATTGAGCCAGATTCACTGTAATGCGAGTCGCGGTCCACCTTGACTTTTGCGCGTCTTAGTCTATTCACACAACGAGCGCTTCAGAGTGACCTCTGCAATCAGA